ATGAATCAGATAAAGTATTGTTCTTTTTCAATTTATACGTATCATTAGTACCAATATGCCTACATTTAATATTCATTTTGTAAAATTAATGTACACAGAGCGTATCGAAATATCATGCAGTTTATGAGTGTATGTGATTAATTAAGTATTATAGGGCCAGGTAGCCGTGCGGACAAAGTGTCTATATTCTAATTCGCATTCGCTTGCCGGTCGTGGGTTCGATCCCCGTCGACTGCAGACATTTTTCTGATGGCCCAAGAAAGTGTTTGGGATCACACTTTAAAAGGTAAGACCCCCGTCATTCCTTGCTCGCACAAGACTTTCGAAGACTTTTGAGGGTTGCTCGTAAGGGGGCAACCGAATGACGGATAGAACAATTTTAGAACAAAACTAAAGATTGATAATAATACGGGTAATTATAATAATACAGGTTATAATAATAATGAATAAATGTCAAAATATTTTTCAGGAAATTATGAAATGTTTCAGTAGACCAGTAGATCAATACGCAAATCAGGAGATCTACTGAAAACTAGAGGTCGGCAAGACAAGAATTCTTATCTTGATTATAACTTCTTGTCTTGTCTTGAGAAAAAGTCAAGACATTTTAAAAAATCTTGTCTTGACGTTTTTTTGACATATTATATCTTGTCTTGACTCAAGAAATTTCAAGATCTTGAAATTTCTTGATTTACCGGTGACACCTTACATGGTAATTATCATTGTATCATGCGTTTTGCGTGCTAACACGGCAATCTGGTGGTTCCCCGATCTTTATTTATTGAATGATCTACAGAATCCAATACCAGAACCAGCACTGAGTCTTGAAAAAGAAGATAACAAATTTGATTTAGATATTACTTACCTATTTAAGAGAGCTAATAATGATCACTCAGATTCTTGGAAGCTTGCAATTGAAAAATACCTATATAAATGAGCCTAGGACAAAAAATTCTGAGAATATACTTGATTGGTGGAGAAGACATGAAAATGTCTACCCGTCGTTATCGAAAATGGCCAAGGATTTTCTCGGAACGCCAGCAACACCTGTACCTGCGGAAAGGCTATTTTCAAGAGCAGCTTTAACAATAACAATAAAGCCAAGAAATCGGCTAGGCGTTGATTCTATAAGAAGTCTTATGTGCCTTAATTCATGGCTTATGAATTCCGATCTAAAATTGTGATAAATTTGATATTTTTCAAAATCTAGTTTGCAATTTTAGTTTCAACAGGATTATAGCAATAATAATAATAATAATAATAATAATCGTTTATTGTCTGCCAATGAACAAAATAACAAATTCCATGTTTGAACAATTATGTTAGTACAAAAAAAAAGGTATAGGTGGCAAACAAAAGGTGAAGTGATAGGTCAGTGGACCGATTCTTCCACACTCCCCTAGAAACAAAAACAAAACAAAAATACTAATAATATAAGTTATGTCTTTGAAGTAAATGTATATCGAGGCGATATTATTTTCAGAAGATAAACTCTATCATAATAATATATTATAAATCAACTATTATTTATTCATTTTTTTTTCTTCGTTTCGCGTATCACTGCTGTGAAAAGAATTTTTACTTAACAATGATAGGGAGAAATTCGGTATATCCAGAGAATGGCTCACAGTCGCAATCTGATAGGTGAAAGATGACATATATTTCTTCATTATGCGAAGGTATGTTGATACCATGCTTTCTTCTCAGGTTTAAATTGTGAATATCAGTCCTATACGTGCTTTTTCTGAAGAGATACTCTGGCTGTTTAGTTTTCAGTACTTTATATAAAAGGCAATACGAATGAAGTCTACGACGATTGTACATATACTGAACCAACCCATATCCTTGAGTTTATGAGATATACGATCTCTTTTTCTTATGCCATGGATTAAACATGAATTTTGAACTTTCTGTATGCGATATGCATCTGATTTGCGTAAAAAAGGTCCATATACTGTATCACAATGATTGAAATGAGACAACACCAAAGAATCGCATAACATTTTCTTTGTAAGTGGATTCATGTTATGTCTATGAGGATACAAAAGTTCAAGAGAAGCATAAGCTGTTCTAATTTTCATTGTAACATGTTTCTCAAACCTTAACTTTGAGTCTAAATTCAGACCAAGGTTTTTGACTTGTTCACTGAAGTCCAGTTGGCCATTTCCAATGAAAATTTGCAACAGGCTCTTTTCCGCTATTTTCTGACTCTCACTACCAAACAAAACAGCACAGGACTTTGAGGTATTTATATTCAAGAGATGTTTCACAGATAATGATCCAAGTTCTGATAGATCATGATTGATCTTCAAATTTGTATTCTGAATATCATTCAATTTGAAAGAAAAATAAACCTGCGTTTTATCGGCATATATAAATGGTAGTTACAATGATAAAAATGACGATGAAAGTTAGATGTAAAAAGAGTATATAAAAGAGGGCCCAAATCATTTGTAATTTTTAATTTACATTTTTGTGAATCGTTCTAGCAAAAAATGTAATAATATAAAATATGTTATGTTAAAATATACACACACTGGCACAATTAGGGGAACGGGCAAAATTTACACTAAGTTTGACATCAATTTTCTTTCGAACCGATCGCTCGATTCAAATAATTTTCCTCACGAAATGTAGCTTCATTCTTCACGAATACATCTGAGGAATAATTACCTTCAAACGATGAGTATTTCCATCATATACAGGGGTGTAAAGAAAGTACGGATTTTTCGGTATTTTTTCAGACATCCTGTGGACTGATCCACTGATAATTGAAACGATTTCTCAACACCAAATTGGAGCCCAATCTATTCCGAATATTTTCGTTTTTTATTCATCTTGATATCTCAATTATTCAAGAAAATACAGAGTTTCAAAGGAAAGGTGGATATCGGTATCAATTTTACACCTCAAAACTCAAATTGGATCTGAAAATGTGTCGTTTCTTGACTAACCTAACCTAACCATGACTAAACCTTTGTCATAGGAGACAAAAGCAGTAAAATCAAATTGTTCATTTTGCCATCTATTGAATTGGTGCAGATGCGGCTCTCATATGTTAAAAGAACATTGGCCCACTGGTCATTTTCAATTATAATGCTACAGCCCTCGCCACATCAGTAGGAGTCAAATCTCTCATGTTGAATTTTCATTAATCAAATTCATGAATTGTGAATCGCTTGACTTTGACAATAATAGCATTACATTAACAAAATAGCCAACGTTGATTAACAAAAATAGCATTTCGCCAAAAGAACATTGGAGCAACTTTTATCACCCCTGCATATTCATGAGAGTATTTCTCATCTTGAAGTAAAAATCCTCACAGAAACAAGTTGAAAAACGACACGTTCTCCCCAGTTCGAGTTTCGAGGCGGTAAAATTAATACCAATATCCACCTCTTCTTTGAAACTCTATATTTTCTTGGATAATTGGGATATCAAGATGAATGAAGAACGAAAATATTCGGGATAGATTGGGCTATAATTTGGTGTTGGAAAATCGTTTCAATTATCAGTGGTTCACTCCACAGGATGTCTTAAAGAATACCGAAAAATCCGTACTTTCTTTAGACCCCTGTATATGATATGAAGACAAATCGTTTGGAGGTGGTTATTTCTCAGATGTATTCGTGAAGAATGAAGCTACAATTCGTGAAAAACAAATTTGAATCGAGTGATCGGTTCGAGAGAAAATTGATGTCAAACTTAGTGTAAATTTTACCCGTTCCCCTAATTGTGCCAGTGTGTGTATATTATCTTTTCCACAAATAAATAATTTGTTTAAGCGTTTCCATTGTTATAGTCAAGATATTTCAAGATTTTTGTTTTCTTGACAACAAATCTTGGTATTGACATAAAATTTCATGTCTTGTCTTGAAAACTAAAATTTCTTCTTGTCTTGATCTTATCTTGAAATCAAGACAAGATCTTGAAATTTTCAAGAACTTGCCGACCCCTACTGAAAACTTAGTTGAACTGGCAATCCTGCAGCGGACGAAAAGTGATTTTTTGTAGAGGTCGATGAAAAAATACTTTTTGTATTCCTCTCGTAGCGGGATAGTTTGATAAAAGTGTGCTTTGTGTAGGTAATGAAACAATAGCATATGCGAGTACCAATAATTCGATGTGAAAGTTCTTTTCCAAAAATTTGTATGCATTTTGTAACTATTTTTTACAATTTTGATTTTTCTTTATTTTTCAACACCAAATATAATGAACTCATGTTTATAAATGCTATCATATAGAGTTTTTTAAAGTTGGTAAGAAATTCCCATACATATTGAAATACAAGATAGAAAAAAAAATCAATTTTATGATAATCAATAGTTTCGTATTTCTTATCTTTGAAATCGATCAAAAAATGACACGGAGTTATAATAATATATATAGGAATATCATAGCTTATATTGTGGCATTTTTTATAAAACACCTTATGTAATTATATTAGCAGACGGTAGAATAATAAAATTTGTTAGCAGAGTTCGTTATCTAATCTAATATTTAAATTGAGAGACTAACAATTTTACCGAATTCCAATTATCGTTATCAAAAATTAAAAAGTTATAATATTCTATTGGGTAGGTATATTCTATTGGGTAGGTATATTCTACCTAATTGACCTAATTTATAATTGGTAGGCAAGTATTAAATATTTGAATAATACAAACAAAAAATAATTAAAAAATCCATCACACTTATATTTATTAAATGAAAATTTAATACTCATGACCGGGACGTACCGAGGCCCGCGCTTTGGGTTATAATTAATTCCAGAGGGTATTTTGCGATTTCGGAAGAGGGGGCAGCAAATAAATCAATACCGGCCGAGCGAGCCCCCCTTACCGAGAACCTAAAAGCAAAGGGCGCAGTTTGCAGTAAGAGCGAGACGCGTTCGTAGTCACGTTGCTGTGGGACATTAAATATCAATTTAAAACAAGCAAAAATAATTTCATGGCGTGAATAACCAGCAAAATAGTCGTGTTTAATTTTAAACGTTCGAGACGACCTTCGAGAGAGTATGAAGTTGAACAAATCCGTTCGTTTGTTCGCGGACAAGCATTTGGAGAACATCGGCAATGTGTTTGGGGTTTTGTATAAGGACGAGTTGTTGACGGACTGCACCCTATACTGCAAAGAAGGGTCGATAAGGGCGCACAAAGTGATTTTGGCAGCATGTAGCCGGTACTTCAGGAAGGTTTTCATCGATCTCAAAGATGACAATGCCATCTTTATGTATGGAATTTCTTTGACACAGCTCAAATATTTGGTCGAACTCATTTATAAAGGCAGTATAGATGTTTCTTGTGACAGTTTCAATTCTGTCATCGATTTAGCCGAAGATTTACAGGTGGCTGGCGTTCTAGTCGAGGATGGTTCTGATACTGTGAGTATATTTTATTTCTTCGGTAGATATAACATTGATTTACCATTTCCCACAAAGCAAGGTCAGAGACGATACGATACAATGCGGGAAGCATTACAGTGTTGCCAAGATATATCGCAAGATATCATGATAAATGTTCGCGGGCCAAATTTTCGAATTTTTTCACAGGGGGTGATCAAATGAACTGTCAATGTGAAAAAAAATCGATTTTGAATGAAAAAAAAAAGAGGACGATTGCCGAAAAAGTTTATTGGAGATATACTTAGGTGTATTCTATGCTGAATTTCCTGCATCCCTTGTATACCTACATAGGTATTTAAAATAAATTGTAAGAATTCTTCTTTTTCTGTACGAGTTTTAGTTTTTTGGCCAAGGTGTGTGTATGAAAAAATTCTCGAAAAAGTTTGAAGTTTGTAATTTTGGGTGATTTATTTTTGGCACTTGGAAAACATCAAAATATGCAGCTTCGCACATACTTTACCTCTCGCTGTACCTATTGGAAAACCTTACTTTCAATTTCGATGCAAAAAAATAACAAACAAAAATCGAAAGGGAGAGAGAGAACAAGAGAAACACAAAATAAGCATGTGTCATTCGCCAGGGGCGGATCTACTAAGGGCTTTTTGGGCTGCAGTCCAAGGCCCTGTGGATACAAATAAGGGCCCCAGTCTTCATTGAAAACATTGGACAATGAATTGATAGTAGTTTAAAAAACTAAAAAAAAAACGCTTTCATAATAGATAGCCAAATTTTAAAAAAGTTGGGAATGTCGATAAATAGGTACGACGTGTCAGAAAATACTAGCACCTCCGTAATCAATATATTATGAAGGCATAGAAGGGACAACAACTTTATTTTTATGGAATTGCCACTTCGACGTGTAAATTGGAAAGTGGAATTGTCACACTTTGAACTGACAATTATTGTCCAAGCAAATGTAACTTTGAACTAGCAATTGCCCCAATTTTATTTTTTTTATAATTGCCACCGCAAAGTGACAATTACGAGGACAATTAATAAATAAAAATAAAGTTGTTGGTCCTTCTACGCCGTTCTACGCCTTCCTAGTATTTTCTATGTTGTGTATTTATCGAGGTACTTATCAAAACATTTCAATTATTTCAATATTTTCAACTTCTTGTTTAGTTTGGCCATCTATACAGGGTGTATCTGAATAACACCGAAAAAATTCAAGGTGTGATTCCTTGTGATATTCTAGCAAATAAAGTTCATATAAACATGTGTCCTAACTTGCTCCGTTTAACCTACATCAAACATAAACATACATACCAAGCTAATATATATTATAAGCGTGTTATAATAAAAACATGCGTTATAATTTATATGACATAGTATAAAACATAACATAACGGTCCGCCCGAGGGTCCGCCCCATTCGACGTCTAACTGAACTTTATTATGTTAATTTATATTTGACGCGAGGTTTGACGTCAGATATAATCATATATGATCAAGATATATGCAAGAAATTTGTTTCGGCTATTTTGTGAAGCATATCTCAAATCAAGTGGCATTGGCCTACCCCTCGACCTACCCTACTTCCGACTTCCTTACTATGCTAGATACAGCGACGAAATCGATAAGACGGCCACTGAGGCGGCCAGCCACATTGATGGTCTCTAAACTTTAGCCATTTTTCCTCTGAGTTGACCACACAAACCAGAGCAACAATAAGTTATCTATTTAGTCAATTTTCCTCGAAGTGTATTCCAAACCATGACGTAATAGTTAACTAACCAGAACCACACAAACCCGCTCACTGTGGTAGTTTACCTCGTAGTTTACGGAGTAGTTGAGGCCTCGGTTGAGGCTTTTGATCGGGCACTGGATTGGGCTCTTGTTGTGATCTGAGGTTATATAATCGGTAAGAAAAAATAACTATAATTACGGATTCATACGAAGTATTTTTCAATGAGCGATCTCATCACATTATTGATGAAATTAAATATTTGGTTCATTTGAACAGCTCGTTAGTGCTTGCTCCTCGGCTTGCTCTACCTGCTGAACTTGATTTTTTTCTATGACTATTTCTGTTTACATCATGCCATGAACAGAAACAACTATGGGAAAAAAATCAACTTATTAAGCAAGTTCAGCAATACAAACTAACAGGGCGAAGTACCTAGGTACCTATACGTTCCTATCTATGATATATTTTTGTTACAGATGATCATTTTCTCGCAATTTCCTATTCAATATAATAAATTACTATTAAAACCAAAGAATACACAAAAACAACAGATAAATTGACATCTGTCAAGCTACACAAGTAAACCGTGACGTCATAATAAAGTTACCGTGACGTCATTATGAAGTTAACCTGGTTTGACTGGTTCGGTTCGAGGAAAAATGACTTTTGACTATTATCTCGCTATTATGTGAAGCATGTCCCAAATCAAGCGACAAAACCGATAAGACGGCAACACTGGTTGCTAAACACGACGATGGTGGTGATGTTGCCAGATGTTGAAAAATAATTCCCTAGAAGGTAGACCAAAAAGTTTGGAGTTTACATTCTCGCAGTTCTTCGAAAACACATACCTACCTATAGGTAATTACGGAAGTGATCACTTTGTATCAAATTTAATATGAGAAATGCAGGAATATTTTTTTGAATCAATTCAATTCAAATGAACAAAAATGTCTCGAAAAGATCTGCACAAACTAAATACTATAACACAGAAAATATGAGAATCCTGTCAAACTCAAAAAGCATGCATGCACGAAATTTGGCACTGAGGTTTTTTGTAGAATAGATAGGTAGGCCAAAAAGTGAATTTCCGAAAAATTGTTGAAAAATGCTTCTTGTCGAAAACTCTTTGTTTCCAGAGCATTGAATTGTCACGTGGTTTGTCATAAGGTTGACCCGAGGGTTGACCCCTAAAAATTAATATTGGTCCGAAATTGGTCTTTGTCTGTCTAGTCTGAAAATTGGGTTTTCGCGAGGGTTTTCGTTTCAAAAGTATCTATTTTGTTGCCCACCCTTGAGGTATATCTCGATGTATATTAAAAAGGAATCTATAGGAATTTCGGGGTTTCCTGAGAATTATATATAGATATTTGGATTAGATATTAGTCGACATATTAGTATTATACCTCTAATGCGTTTATGAATACTTGAATCCGAGCTTGATGAAAACTTGAATCCAAGCTTGAATCACATTTTATGAAGAATAAAGAATTGCGAGAAGAATTGCAATAATTTGTGCTGGAATTATAAGGAGTTTTCTTCAGAATTATCCCAGGACTTCTCTATGAATTCAATGTACATGCATAACCAACCGGAGGCATAACCTCTTGAGTAGGCGCGTTTGATTTCAAAATTGAGAGGTATACAGGGTGTCCTAGAATAACGTTCGTATACTCCAAGAGCCGGGAGGTAATTCTGCAGATGAAAATGAGAAAACATGTTTCTACCAACATGTGTCCGAAATTGCCTCCTAGGGGCGCTAGAGCGCTTTGAAGGTTGGCCCCTTCTTCAATTATCTTTTATCTTTTGTTATCAATGATCCTAGAATCACGAAATTTGGTACCTACGGGTGATTCCGAGGGTGATTCGATATTATAAATCGTTTCGTGATGGAAAACATGATTTAATCTACAGGGAGGTGCAAAACTCGTAACGGATGCTATAAAAAGTACCCATGTTTCTTTGTTTCAAGATTCATCTCAATTATACTACCGAAATAATTCTTCTCGAGATTCTTCTAATACATGAAGAATGTATTTTTGTTAGAATGCCGTTAAACGAAAAGTTTCATTTTTCATTTTGATGTCCGAAAAAATCAACAATTTATTTGAACGTGTGCATATAGCCAGGAAAGTAGTTGTTTTCTGTTGAATAAACCACTCATGTGAAGTTGGCGCCGTTTTTTTCGAAAAACTCAATTTTTTTTTTAGTTCTGAGTAGATTTGATAGAGTTCTAGAGTTCCTGACTGAAATTTTGAATAGTTCCAGCAAATCGTAGGTATCATTGGAAAAAATAAATTTTGAGCGCTAACTTCACGCAGCGCCGTTTTTTTCGAGAAAATGAGTTCTGATATATTTTTTTGTTGTATTATAAAGAGTTCTGGAGTTCTACACCTATTTCATCAATAGTTCTGGTGAACTAAGGAAATTATCGAATAATTTAAGGAAATTAAATACGAAAATGTGTTTCTATAGCCAGCATTTCTTGGTGAAATACTATTCCGTTCTGTTTCGTATTGAAGAAAAAGCTATCGAGGAAAAAGGAGAAGGATCATTAGGAAATGTGAAATCTGAAAAAAACGAAGAAAAAAATCAGCTGTCATAAGGTGAAAAATTTATTCCAAAGAACAGGACAGTTCTGATGGGAGTTCTGAGTAGCGCTCGACGAGTTCTTTAAAATATTCGAATGGTGTTTCAGTGACAAATCGATACTTTTTCTTAAAAAAACTATTCTTAAAAGAACTATTCTGTTCCTGGGTACTGATTTTTTATCGAAAATATTAGTTTTTTGAGATGTGCACCTTATGACAGCTGATGAAAGAAAAAGTATCGATTTGTCACTGAAACACCATGAGAATATTTTGAAGAACTCGTCCAGCGCTACTCAGAACTTCCATCAGAAATATTCTGTTCCTGAGTACTGATTTTTTAACGAAAATGTTAGTTTTTTAAGATGTGCACATAATGACAGCTGTTGAAAGGAAAAGTATCGAATTGTCACTAAAACACCATTTGAATATTTTGAAGAACTCGTCGAGCGCTACTCAGAACTCCCATCAGAACTATTCTGTTCCTGAGTACTGATTTTTTATCGAAAATGTTAGTTTTTCAAGATGTGTACCTTATGACAGCTGATAAAAGAAAAAGTATCGATTTGTCACTAAAACGCCATTTGAATATTTTGAAGAACTCGTCGAGCGCTACTCAGAACTCCCATCAGAACTATTCTATTCTTAAGTAGCATTTTTTTATCGAAACTTAGTTTTTCAAGGTATGCTCCTTATGACAGC